GTGTTTTAACTTCCATTTTTCATTGGTGTGTTATTGAATTCCTTGCCATTAGCCTTTCTAATTTTGGTAAGGTTGGTAAGTTCAATTTATTAAAGAAATCACTCAAATCCATTTTACAAACAACATACCCTTGTATAGGGGACACAGTCAGGGACAATATATAAGAGCTGAAAGTGGAAACCCCTTATTAGCAGTTTTTTATTTTTTCAACTGTGAATGAAAATTTGTCAAGTGTGTATCTGTAAAAAACCTTGGCAATGTAGGACAATTGATTATTTTATAATATGTTAATCTAGTTTTAAGATATGACAACTTATTCATTGTGCGATGCCTTACAATTGTCCTTCCACGGTTTATGGATGTTTCAACTTTAACTTCTATAGTATTCCCCCCCCCCCCAATCATGCTACATTACCCACCTTATTAATGGATAGGTTGACATAATATCACATGAAATTCTATCATTTGACTGTTTTAAACACAATCATCATTTTCATCCAATCATTTCAGTTATTGATCATATGCGAATCTTCCATTGGAGGCCACGTGGAGGCGCCACACTCACACACGTGGCAATCAATCCAATAATAAAGAAGAATGCAAGAATTGCCTTCTGGCCAAGGCACTATTCCATCAAAGCTCCAATACCGAAGTGCTCTCATCCCTTGAGCCAAATTCCTTCATGTCCGAGGCTCCTTCCTGTCTTTCACGATCGAAGTGATTGTATTCTTTGGAACAGGTCCGATGAATGTATATTTAGAAATGACTGATATGACATTTGCATTAATAAATGTCAGACATGTCATCAATATAATTAATGTGAGAGAGAGTGATGGGACATTTCGATCAATTAGATGGAGCCACGTGGATTTAATCCAACGATGGCCAGTTCGATTGAGACACTAAATAACAACTCTTGTAACATTGGAGAGGATGGAAAAAATAGAAATACAATCTTCATATATTTGTTATGATATATCTCCTCTATCATTGTTATTCTACTCAAGAGTAATTTTACGAAAGTTAGGGGGGAATTGTGCACACAGTTTCTGTAAGTATTATGCCCTAGGTCCAATCAATTTTGGACATAAATACTTTTATATATAATTAATACAATTAAATGGCTGATCTATTATTTAATTAATAGATAATTAGATAAATAATAGAGTCTGTAGATTCAAATATTTGTAATTTGTTAATCACAAGGAGTTGTGATTGTGAGATACAAATTACATCTGATTGAATCTTAAATCATCCGTGGTCATAAGTAATAACGAGATACGGATATCGTTATTACGGATAGACCATCACTTGTGACATTTCTTACTTGTGAAGTAAGTAGCTGATCTCACAAGTTAAAGTGTGGTGACACTTAAATGAATACGTGGATTTTTTGTTATAGAACAAAACATTGGAGACCCGTCGAGAGATTTCACATGGATAACTATCTGAGTGTCAGTGGTTAATCTCTAACGTTCGGTAGTGGAATTGGTCCTTTGACTTGAGGTCGTCATAGTACCTTATATGAGGACAGTCATACTTTGGCGGTGTTGGATGTTGCTCTGAAAAGGGCCGCTAATACGATATCGTTCGGGTATGTCAAGAATCGTATGAAGGTTGTGATTGATCAATAAAGGATTCGTCACTCTTAGATAGCAGGAGATTATGATCTGCGTTTCATTCAATTAAGTCGACGATGAAATCCTTGGCCAAGGTGTACTCATAAGTCGAAAAAGAGTTTTCGACTTATATTGACTTAATAGTGGAGTGAAAGATATGATCGATGATCGAGATTGACACAATTCCATATCTCGTAATTGATCGGATTATATTGACGAAGGGATTATAGTTTCACGGTAAACGAACGAATTTGATTTTGTCATACCATGTGACATTTCCCGTCACATGTATTGCCCTGACACATTGCTAGATGTCAATCAGGGACGGCGAATGTGAATTGACGATAAATTAAAAGGGTGTTTTAATTTATCAATTTTGATTAGATCAAAATAATATTTCACGTCGTTAGGCATCGTGGTCGGGAACCTAATGGGTCACACACAAAAGAGAATTGGAAGATTGCAAATTGCCAATTGGTTAATTTAACAATCGTTGGATAAATTAATTAATTGGATTTGTTATTTATATTTTCGAATTAATTAATTGGATTAATTAATTCACGGATCGGGTTTAATTAATTGGATTAATTAATTATTGGACCGGACCGGGCCGAGCCGAGCCGAGCCTGTTTGGGTTTATATAAATACATAACTAGGGTTTGAGGTCCATAAAGTTTTCATTATTCTTGCTGGCACAAGAGAAAACCCTAGAAGCTGCAATCATATTCTATGTGTGGATCACCGTTGGAGGCTGGACAATTGGACAGCTGTGGTGGCAAATCAAGGTTGATGGAACTGAAAGAAAAGCAAAGAAGTTTGCAGATTTGGAAAATGTACAATCTTATCACAATTTCTATCTAAACACAAAGGCGATTTTTGGTGGAAATCGAAAATTATTTTAAATTCCGCTGTGCATGTATAAGTAGATTTCCAACAGTTTCTATGTTTTCATTTTCGATATTATCGTGGGTGCCCAAATTACTACGACTTGTACCTGGAGCGTTACACATGTTTGTACTATTTCGATAAAGCCTCCAGTCCAAAGCTGCCGCAATTGGCGATGTGGACACAAACGGGCCCCGACATCTGTTGTCCCATTTTTTGGGGTCAATAATTTCTATCCACCAGCACAGTTGTCAAGGAGGATGTCAAAAATCCCCTGATAAAGTGGAATAATTGTTATTATTTTTTGAATATTTTTTTGAAGCAAGTTCGTCAACAAATACAGCTTATCAATTCAAAATATTGTTGTTGATAAGTTAACTTACGTATCAAAAAATTTAATGGAACTTTGTTTGGCGAACTAGATCCCGAGATTGGTCGAAAATATTATCTTCATTCATTTTATATTGGGCAGAATAAAAATTAATTTACGCTGTGTTTTATTTGACGTGCTCAATAATGGAGATTGAAGATAATAACAAGCTGTTAATTTTAGTTGCCAACCTTTTCTTTTAATTACAAATTTAGCATTCAATTTTCAATTTCTTGTAATGTTACTCACTTTTCTCCAATTTATCGATACAAACTAAATGAACGAGCATGTGGATGAGGATGACAATATTACTACCTAGTCATTAACGGAGGCAAGTTGGCCTCTGGTAAATGATGACATATTATGTAATTTTTAACATTTTTCTTAGAAGAGAGCAGAATCACATTTCATAAATGATGGCAATTCATCTGTTGATATTTTCATATTTAAGAATGTACAACGACATCAATGGAATCAGTAAAATCATGCTAAATGGGAAAAGTTGCGAATTCCATGTTGAATAATTGATGATAGCGTTGGAATGTGGAAGCGGAATTATTTAGAATTTAAAATTTTCTTTAATTCAATAAACAAGATTGTTTAGATGTTCACGTGTATGTTATAACAAGAATAAAAAGATTCAATAAATTCGATGATCAATTTTTGAATTAATTTTGAATCACGAACTTCTAACTTTTTAATTCCAAGAACTTGATGCTTCAAATCTCAAGTCTTTTATGGTATTCTCCAATGTCGAGACTACACCGGTGGATGGACACCTTCTTTTAATTAAATCTTTTGATCTAAACAATTGATAAAAGCAAGAAAAATAATTTATTTTTTTTTGTCTCTTTCCTCTTTCCTAATTTAGACACTATGGAATTATGTATTATGATTCTTGTACAATCCCACACAATGTCTAGTTTCTGTTATGAAAAGAGAAGAAAATAGGGAGAAGTCAATAGACTTGTGTATTTTATTAAGAATCAAAGCCCTTTATTTATAGGGTAGAATTAGGGATACAATAGTAATTATTTTTAGGGCTGCAGATGTGTAATTGTCATTCACTTCTAAACCCTAATAATATTTCCTTTTACAACACCCCCTCTTGAATGACACATTACAAATTATCTGCTTCATTAAAACTTTGTTTGATAAAAACCCAATGGGAAAAAAATCAAACGAAGGAAAAAGAGTACATTTATTTTGGAATACTAAAAATAAATGCTGACTCATTAAAACCTTGCTAGAAAAATCCAGTGGGACAAAACCTAAGATAAGTAAAAAAGTCAACTAGAAAAGATAAGAGTTAAAAAACATGTTTTCTAGTTGGAAATAATGTTTATCTTATTTTTTCCTTCCGAATTGATTTTGGCATTATTCCCTTCCATTTCAAAACAACTCGACCTGAATTGTCATCAAGATACAAAAGCTTATCAAAGGAAAACTCATTATTTGAATTTGTAATGGTCGGAAAATCTTCCCTTCCACTTAGAAGCTTTATGTGTCCTCCTTGTAATTTTTTATCCTTCCACTTCTAAGTATTCTCTCTACCCTTATGTATGTCATCCACATTAATTTGCAGTACTCTCACCTTCTGTTCCACCACAAAGGGGTCTTTTTTTTTTTTGCTTCGGGAATACGATTTGTCCAGTCGAACATGACACCATCCAACTGAACAAGATCATAAATAATTTCTTATTTGTGTTACGAACTAGACACTTTTATTTTATAGACATTTATGTTCTGCGTCAGTTTATCATTTCAATTTAGCTCAAATTGAAATCTACAAATTATCTCGAATTTGCAAGAGTGTGTAAAGATTACTCAATAAACTTTTATTTATATATAATCATCCATATGCAAAGAAAGGATAAGAAATAAAATCGATCAATAAGATTATTATTTTTTTATATTTTCTTCCATATATTTTAATTATCTTTACAACGTGGATGCAACACGACCCGTGCATATATCTGATATCCTCTGTTTGTGGTTCCTTCCAGGATAGACTGAATCTTAAACAAAACTGTGAACCAACCACAACCATCCACCTCATCATTTGCCACACCTTATCCTCTCTCACATCCACTACTCCCATAATCTAAAAATCATCGCTCCACACTTCTCCATTCAAACCCCCTCCTCCTCCTCCTCCTCTTCTTCTTCTCATCAATTCCAATCTTTATCAACTGAAAAAATAAAAAACTAAATTATGTCACTCACAATTCCTTCAAACCTTTTTAAGCCCATTTCTTTACCGAAACTGGGCACAAAACAAAGGGCTGCAGCCATTATTTGTCAAGCTAATTCTCCTAACCAGATCACATCATCTGGTTCAAGTTCAGAGCAATCGCTTAAGGCATTTTCTGCTGCAATTGCGCTATCCTCGATTCTGTTATCTGCACCAGTGCTTCCAGCATCAGCTGACATAGCAGGATTGACGCCATGCAAGGAGTCGAAGCAGTTTGCCAAGCGTGAGAAACAGGAGCTAAAGAAGCTCGAGTCTTCCTTGAAGCTTTATGCTCCTGACAGTGCTCCTGCTCTTGCCATCAAGGCCACTATGGAGAAGACAAAGCGCAGGTAATGGAGCTTTTCAACCATTCCTTCAATTATTTGTTGTGGGTGGGTCAACTAAATATATTCAAGATTTTCTTGGAGTAACTATTTGATCTTGATGCGAGAAAATTTTGGGCTTTTGATGCAATCGGTGCTAAATATAATGGCTAAACAAAAGAATTCTCGATGTTGACTCGATAATTGGTGTGCTAATACAATCGATCACTTACTATTATGCGCTTGGGCAAGTTTAAATGATGAATTATAAGTAGACTGTCATGCGGGCGAAATCATTACTAAGAATGATGGAGCGCTGCATTAAGATGTTAACTGAGACAAATTTTCTTATGCTCATGCTGTTGAAGCATCTGTATGATTATTATAGTGTAAAAAAATTATCTTCAAATGCGGTATTTCTTTGCTTAATTTGTCATCTTGAAGAGACAGAAACCTCTGTACTGGTAATTTGCGATAAAATTCATTTTAATCATTAACTTGATGTTTCCATACAGTGCCTATTCGTCAAATTCCTTAACCCTACAATGAGTTGAATCCCAAGTTTGTGATTATAATCAGGTTTGAGAACTATGGCAAGCAAGGCCTGCTGTGTGGATCAGATGGTTTGCCTCACTTGATCGTGAGCGGGGACCAGAGGCACTGGGGTGAATTCATAACTCCAGGGATTCTGTTCTTATACATTGCCGGATGGATTGGGTGGGTTGGTAGAAGCTACTTGATTGCTATCAGGGATGACAAGAAACCGACCCAGAAGGAGATCATCATCGATGTTCCATTGGCCAACAGGCTTATCTGGAGAGGCTTCATCTGGCCTGTGGCTGCCTACAGAGAGTACTTGAATGGGGAACTCATCGACCCAAATGTCTAATTATAAATTTTCAGGTAAACTAAAGTAGGAATATTGATAATGCATATGATTATTATAGTACTGGTTTCAAATAAATTTGAAAAGTTATTTGCAAAGTTGTAAATTTGGCCCCTTGCATTGCAGGAATCAGACTGGAAGGACAGAAGGAGATGGGACAAAGGGCTTTAGTTTGGGCAATCTTATGGAGAAGAGAAATGGACAAATTCTTGTATCTAATATCTGTGTACTTTTTCTACTTGTATGAATGTTTTTATTTGAATCTGGAAACCAATGAGAAGCCCTTTCATGTTTATTGTTTGTTATTTCGCACTAGTAGCATTTCTATAAATGGAGTGTGAATGATCTAGATACAAAGAAGAAAAAATTTGGATAGATGATTGACAAAATTAAAATTTTTTATTCAACATGGCCCATTTTCCAGCAAACATTAATGGTCTTATTCAAGAAATTCAAATTTTAGTACTAAAAGAAATCTCTAAACTACCATATAAATCCTAATGTAAAGTAAATAGAAAACCTTCCCATGAGTAAAACAAACTCAAATCTCATAACATAATCATTCCTCATTCATACCCTCGTATTAAATCGAAAACAGTTTATTATACCGGGAGTGTTTTTTTCTGTAATTGAAGCTTGAAAATGAAACAATGGCAAGAACAAGAATACAACTACGTATTCAATATAAATTGAATCAAATATAATTAAAAAGCAGGATGCTTATCTTTCAAAATCATCAAGGTCCAAGAAAAAGTTTTACCATTCGTACCTTGCTTGTTGATAGAGCATGCAGATAGCAAAGGAAATTCAAATTATACAACACATGACCAAAAGAAATCAGAAGTTGCACATACTGCATAGAAACCAGTGAGCCACAATGGTGAAAATTGCAACGTACATCTTTTCGTTAAATATAATGTTGCAGAATGGTAACAGATTTACTATAAATAAATAGACAAATTACTTTGACAGATAATTTTCTCGTGTGCATCTACAAAAGCATTATTTTGCACTGAAGTATTCCAAAAATAGCATCAGCAGCTCACTTGGAGAGATTCATGCGTAGGAACAAATAAATATACCGAAAATGGAGTTTTGCGAAGTAATATCACAACGAACACAAATCTGTGATTGCCTGTACATATTGAATGGATATCTGTTTCTTCACTACATTCTACACACTGTAAGGCCACTACAAAACTTCTACAAAGTTGTCAAGGAAAATTGGAGGATCTTGAATCCCTAAGAATCAGAGAATTACACGAGATTCATGGAGCAAAACAACTGCCAACCAATTACATTGCTATTTTAAGCTCCAATACATACAATTAATTTGCACAGTTTCTTTATACCTTTACAAATGAAATCTTTTTGGGAATGAGGTCGTTAAAACCATCTCCTATTTCAAGTGCTTATTGGAGAACTTCAGCTCAATGCATGCTTACATACAATACAGATCTCCATGTATGTTGAATCAATAGCTAGAAGTAATCGATAGGTTTGCACCTCCACATCAAATTTGTGTTGAACCCTCAAAGTGCACGAGAGAGCCATGATTCTGTTTTCATTGCATCGTTCTGGTCAGTTTACATTTTGAAATGAAGATGGTATCTGAATAATTCAGACTACATAGCTTCAGAAGCTCGGCAGCCTGCTGCTTCAGAACAGGGCTGCAATCACTCTGGATGACAAGAAGGAGCTTCGCTGCAAGACCCCTGTCAACAGCTATCAACGAGCATTCCTCAGGAGAGAGTTTGCATATAGACAACAAGATTGAAAGTGCATATTTTGTACAGCTTTCTGAAATTCTCATAAGTAGCTTGACCATACTAGGTATAGTGTTTGAACAATCCTTCAAAGCTTGTCTCCCTTCAGGTACAGAGGATAAGACATCCAAAATGAAAAGGGCAATTTCCAAACATTCTGGATTTAATCCAGATAACAATTCCACCAACTGAGGAATAGCACCAACACTCACAATCAAACTTCGAACTTGCTTATGTATGCAAATCGATTTGAGAAGACCAAGCCCGGGCAAATGTCCATTAGGGTGTCTCTTATCCCTCACCAGCCTCATTAAAGCAACCAACAAGCAATGGCTTGAGACAATTTCTGATCGGAAATCTTTCTCCTCCATCAACATTTTGATCAACTGAATGCAATTGACTTTTGTTTCAATGGATCCTTCATTCAATATATCGATAATTGATGATACCTTTGCAGGTTGCATCAAATTCATTTTCGATTCAGAATTTAGAGATAAATTCACAATAATGGCTATAACCTCTGAACCTACAGCATAGGAAGTAAAAGGACCAAGCAAAGACAAAAGAAGAGCCACCCCACCTTTATCAACCACAGCCTTCCTAGCAGTCGAATGAGCAGCCACAACTTGTTGCAGCTCCTTAAGGGCTTGAATTCTAGCCTGCCCCTTTACCTTCTTCAGGGTATCGATAAGCTCCGATACCCTTCCCTGTGCATCTTCGGATCTCTTCTTTATTTGCACATACTTCTGCGAAAACCAAGTATAGATTAAATGGTAAAGGGTCCTGTTTGGCGTGACACTATCATCCCAAAGTTCTTGCATAGTAGTAGGGCAAGTATAGTGCCCCAAACTAAACCATTTGAGAATGTTGGACCTCTCGTAGGTTTGGCCGGTGCAAAGGGTAACCGGGTCTTGCATTGTCTCGAGAGAAATGGGGCAAATGAAAACTGACGGTACTTCAGACAAATTTAGCTCTTCAATCATTTTCTTTAGATCCAACTTCTCTCCAACCCCACCTCCAAAACCCCCAACTCCACCTCCGCCCAAGACTCCATCTTTCACTGCAGTTTCTAGATCTAGAACGTGCCCATCACCCCCACTGCCGAATCCAATCCCATCCCTCTTTGAAGGCTGAAACATAGGCATCTTCGCAAACCCACAAACAGTTCGAAGCTATCCAATTATTGAAATACTTTGCAAAATCTCCACAATCTACAGACTTTGAAGAAAGCGCATTACAATCCACGGCTGCCGCACACGAGGTGTGAAAAAGTACAAAGAAAGAAGGAAAACTAAACTCCTCTATATCGCTTTCCAATGACAACGAGAAGCAACAATTCTTTCTTTCAAAGGGTACATCTTTAATTTTCTCTCTCTTTTCACTTTATCCTATTTTTCTCTTTTTTGTGGTCAAAAGACCCATGTCATCATCATAACACGTAATAGAGCATTCAAAATCAACTCTCTTATCCAAAAATCAAATCTTTCTTCTCATTCAAGCCTCAAAAGGAGTTCAACCATAGAAAAGATTACACAAAATGTAAATCTAGACTAACCCAAGATCCACCCAAAAAAGAAAGAAGCAAGTTTAAGCAAAGATACTAGAAAAAAAGAAGAAAACAATTGGACCCAGATCAAAAGAACCTGTGAAAAAACAAATTGGAGAGTAGAGAGAAAGGGCATCTCCAGCTGAGACTCCTAAGCAGCTCAAACCTTCTATGCACCCTTTTTTTTACTCAGAGCTGTGGCTGTTGAAAGAAAATAATATCCTAATTTCTATATATATATTTATACACACACACATACACACAACTCACGTATATATAAGTTCTCGAAATAAGCCAAAAAAAAAAAAAAAAAAAAGAGGGGCGGAGGTTGTGGTGGGACCCACCAAAGGTGAATTCAGAAATTTTATAGTGAAAAGGTCCTGCCAACAAGGAAGTTTGACCATGGTGACAGTTTTGCTTTGACTGTACCCATCTCGACCTTTACCCGTGTGCCTCGATTGGACTGCTTTTCCATTTGCTCCCAATTACTGCCACGTTTCGTTATGTATAAAATTTTCTCTTTATTATTACTCTCTCATCTCTCTCTTCGTAATGTTCATAAGTAACCCCTATTTGGAACAGGTTAAATCCTTCCAAACAAGGGCTAAACAAATTGTTGAAATGTTCGTTGTGCATGTGACATTGATATCTACTGAATCGATAATTGGGTTCATAACTGGTATATAAGTGTGTTTACAATGCATTTTATGTACAAAAAATTATAGCAAAGGTCCCCAAACCTTTTATTCTACTGCAGATTATACCATAACTTTTCATTTTTGCTGTTGTAGTCCCAAAACTTTATATTTGATTGCAACCGTAATAAAAAATCACTGATTCCGTCCATAATGCCTTTTAGTCAACAGTAACATTGCAATTTCATCTCAAAAGGACAATTTAAAATATGGGACAAAATGGTATATTTATAAATTTCATAATAAAAAATTAAAATCATTCGATAAAAAAAGTATTGTTCATCTTCCCCAACCTCCACAACCCTACCCCCTTCCTTTAACTCAAGCTAAATCAAAATGCCACCCCACCATCACCATCGCCATGCTCATCATCAAAATCGCCATCTGTTACTCAATCTCCGTAAACACAAATTTGCAAGTTAAATTGCGGCCGAACTCACATGGAATTCCTTCTGCTCAGAAGCATTAGCATTTAATGATTTATTACTAGGTCCAAGAGTTTGAGATTGTACAACTACCGTATCAACTTGAACACAAGATTCTTCAAGCTCCATCTTGTATCCTCGCCCAGTTATACTACTCGATGAATCAAGATTATGAGAAGTCTTTTTTTAATCGCTCACACTTCCACGAGAAATTGATGTTGACAATGTAAACCCGTTTGAAGATTCATTCTCAATACCATGAGCAAGTTCTTGTTGGACTCCAAATGCATTTGTTCCGATAGTGGGTAAACAATTTTGACAATGGCAATGATGATAGGGGGATAGGGTTTTGATTTAGTTTGGGTTGAGGCATAGTTATAAAACGGGTCGGAAACTCGGCCCGAGTATAATAATTTGATTGAAATGCAAGTGATTTGGTCAAAGCTGATTTTGATCGAGTTAATCGACGGTTTTTATATTAAACTGTCATCCCGATTGATCGATTTAACTGATTTTCAAAACTATCCTCAAGATTTTTGAAATCAAAACTTGAACCTAGGGACTCAAGGTTAGATGAAGACCACCTAGCCATTGGTACATAATAGATTAGGTTTATTTTTGTG